AACACTCTATAATAAAGCTCATCACAGTAGTCTTCAAACTATATACCCTTGAAACAGTTACTTCATGAGTGAACCAAGATGTATCATCAAAAATCCAAAAGTGATTATGTTCTCCCCATTTGTAGAAGAAAAAAAACTAATGTACTAGATAGAATCTCTTCAATTAAGGGTTTCCTCCCACAATTTGTTTTAAGCCTTTTGGACCCCCAACAAAAAAATCATATGATATAATTAAACAGAATTTATCAGTATTTCTCAAAGTTCTGCAAATAGTACCATGACTTCCAGATGTCTGACAATGGCACAAGTTAGAGAATCAGTTTTAACATATTTAACCTATTATAAATACATCCTAACACAAAGCAGGTGCTCAGTAAATGTCTTGTTAATTGAAATCCTTCATTCTTTCATCAGTGCACCCAAACATTTTATGACTCTTCTTTAACAGAACTATTTTTTTAGAATGGCAACTATAATAAATAGAACTACATGGAGTATCAAGGTCTAACATTCTATAGTTCTGAACAAGAGGTTATTTTTATTTTATTTTTTTAAAGATTTTATTTATTTATTTGACAGAGAAAGACACAGCAAGAGAGTGAACACAAGCAGGGGGAGTGGGAGAGGGAGAAGCGGGCTCCCTGGCGGGGCTCGATCCCAGGACCCTGGGACCATGACCTGAGCCGAAGGCAGCCGCTTAACAACTGAGCCACCCAGGCACCCCAAAGGTCCCCAATTTTTAAAGATTTACATTAAGAAGATAGAATTACAGAATCCAGTAGAGGTGGGGGAAGTCAGAGTACTAGGGAGAAAGAAGCATTCTGTCTAAATTCCCAATTAATTTCTGGATTTTGATCTGAACTGGAAATAAGTCAAAAAAATTCAAAATTTAACTTAGGAAGTGATGAAAATTGGTCTATAAAATTTATTTGTATTTCAGTACTTGTACTTGGAAGCCACTAGTGTTTTTACATTTTTGAGGCTTCATGATGATGCTGTTATACTCCCATCCCCAAGAAAGACATTCTGCCAAAAAGCAATCACAAAACTAAATAACCTTCAGCTATATTTTAAGAAAGCATTTTTTTAAGCCCATTACATGTACCCTTTAACAGCATGTTAGTTCAGAAATCAAAAATAATTTTAACAAGGAAATGTTACAGATGATTTTCACCAAAACATTTTTTATTAAGTTTTTTATTTTAATTCCAGTATAGTTAACATACAGTATTCTATTAGGATCAGATGTACAATATAGTGATTCAACAATCTACATGCTTAGTACTAATCTTAAGTATACTTTTTAATCCCCATCACCTATTTAACCCATTCCCCTCCACCTCCCTCTCCTCTAGTAACTATCAGTTTATTCTATATGGTTAAGAGTCTTTCTTGGTTTGTCTCTTTTTTTCCTTTGCTTGTTTGTTTTGCCAAAACATTATTTAAATGGCTAAACTTAAAAATTTAAGTTCAGCTCTGTTGGGGTCACAGGTGATAACTCTTTGACAGCTACAATCTCTGAAACTATGAAAAGCCATTTTCTGGCTTCAAAGCAATATTCTTAAAACTTTCAACAATATTTTAAAATTTAAAAACTTTCAAATATAACATTATTTAAAATGTGGAGTCAAAAATTCTTATTCATATTTGACAGTTTCTACAGCTCTGCACATAACTTCCTATTTTTTATTCCTTTTCACTTAGATGATCTTCTCCATATTTCTAATGCTAACTGCTATTTCTCAGTTGCTTCAAATAAATGAGTGAGATCCCTTCTAAAATATAACTTTGAGAATAGATATGTTAGTTCTAAGTCTTAGTCATAGTTCTACCACAACTATTTTACATATAAAACATATTACTATTTATTGCTATTATATATTTATATACAATAAAATTATATTTATAAATTCATAGACTTTATACATGTAATGCTATTGTATACACCACAAAAAGCAAACCAAAAATAGAGATTTATAAAGAATTTAAAAAAAAAAGAGTATATTGAAGTTGTAACATTTTCTTCCCTCACCCCAATCAACCATCCTGCATACCTGCCATGGTGCAAACACTACTCTGGAGACCACACTGTAGCCATACAGAAGTACCTGTAGTTCCTGAAACACTATGCTGTTTCATACCTTGCATTCACTGGAGTTGAGCAAAACCTCCAAAAAATAACCAGCAGCAATCTTCAACTCCTTCAATAACCAAGTTCAAGTATAAACTTCTTTATGATACCTTCTACCTAATCTCTTTACCCCTTCTCATTTCCTCCTTTCACTTACGATCCCCCCACCTTCAGACTTAGATCTCCCTCTTAAATTACCCTTGTACCTGTTTATATGTCCACTATAGAATCATTATCTTTTTAAGTTTCTGTTTCCCTACTCAACTATAAACCACTTAGAGGTAGTGGACTTATTTTTTGATCTCAGGGATTTGAATGTCTAACTTTGGCAGATACTCACATATTTGTACAATCAACTAATCTAGCCTAACACTCTCATAGTACAAATGACTGGACTGATATTCAAATTAAACACTGTGTCCACAGTCCAAGGTACTAATGCCATTGGGCTACTCTATGATAATGTGGCATCTTCTCTAATGTACCTCATTTCTTGCTCATAAAATACTTATAAAAGCTCAGGAGTATTGGAGCAGCTATAAAGTTCTCTTTACAATAATCTAAAACTAAGAATTAATTTAATATATTACAAATATATATAAAACAAAAGAAAAATTATATCTAGGTGATTTTTTTTATTACTAAAATACCACATACTATGTATTTATAAATAAGGTATTTGAGTCAACTGCGGAAAATCATACTCATGTGGCCAGTCTATGGAATGTTGTTCTGGAACATGTATCTCTATCTATCTTAACTGTATACCAAACAGTTATAACCAACGCTTTTTTCAAAGTTATGCCCAAAGTATTTATTTAGTAATAACTCAGATTTTAGGCTATTGCAGAAAAAGAAATGAATTCCTAGTACCTACAAGTGTGATCTGGCAAACCTATTATTTACAAAATGTTTACATACATCAAATACAATAAAAGCAAGGGACTCAAAACTTTATCTGAGACTATCATATTATTTTTTGCTAGTAAAATGCAAGACTATCTTTCTTGAACTAAGAATATCAGAAATACATTATTATGTTTATAAACAACAGAATGTTTTAAGTTTAATTTCTAAGTATGGATGCTATTAGATCATATGGGAATACAGTATTCTGAGCATTAGCCACCAGGAATCATTCTAAAGCATTCAGAAATTAACTTTATGAAGAACAGAAATAATCTCCCTGCTTTTTTGTAGGACTCAAGAAGTATTTCTTATACACATAATGCTTCTGAAAACACCTGTAATTCATCCAAACCAACACTATACTCCTTAGCACTTTCATGCAACCATTCTCTCATCCCATTCTAAATCCCCATTTCCACATCTATAAAACTGGATGCTTGGACTAGATGTATTCTATGGTGCCTTCCAGATCTAAAACCCTGTGACATCAATTTGGAGTATATTTTACTGCTTAAAAATAATGACATGTGAATCGATTGTTTTTTATGAGTCATAACTATAATGACTCTGTGGAGACAAGAATAATAAACACACTACTCAAGTAAAATATCACTAAATAAAGTATTAAAAGTAAACCTGTGAATAACTATTACAAAATAATTCTACTTTATGAAAGATTCAAGAAGGGAGTCCTTAAATAGAGCCCCCTAATGAGTCAAGCTCTATGTTAACTACTGTTTTCAGTGAAAGAAGTCACTGGTAGTCTTGAAAATAAATGGGAAGCCAGTGGACACATTATTTTTAAATTACCATTATAAATCAAGGAGCAAAACTTAAAACTTCTCAGGAGCTATTCATAAAAGCACTTAGTATAATGCCCAGTTTCAGATATGAGGAAAATATTAATTTTATTCAACTATTACTAATACTGTAATGGTTATAATTTATATCAGACTAACTACGGAACCAACACTGTTGACTTTACATTTATTAACTCATTTAATCCTACGGTAACACCAAGAGGTACTATTACTATCCTCATTTTACAGATGAGGAAATGAAGCCAAAAAGGTAAAGTGACTTGTTCAAGTTCACTCAGCTCTTAAAAAAAATCAAACTAGTATTCCACTTCAACTACCATTTCCAACATTCAATTATTTTTCTATTCCTAAAGAATTTCACTTGAGAAATTAATTTGGCTCACATAAAATATATGATTATAAATCCGTTTATTTTAGTAACTCTTGTGTTACATTACTTCCTCTCACTAAAGAAAAATAACTGACTCTGAATATATGGATATAGTATACCAAGAGCACAATGCCATCTGAATTGACTATGATTTCTAGAATAAACACAAATGTCTAAACGTTTTAAAAATTTTGTGTTGATGCATCCACTATTATCGCAAAAATTCAGTCAGCTCACACAAAGCTGAGATCTCAGAAAAGATCAGGAACATGCCAGAGTAATTATTAATCATTTAAAAACAACCCATAAATTTACGATGACCAACATGGGTAGTGAAACGATAATTTTTTTTGGTTTGAAACGACCACCTTTTTACATGAGCCAAACACATTTTTCTAACGATATTTCATCCTAAAAACTTTTTTTTAATGTCATGTTAAAACTGTCTAAAAGTTGTGGTCCATCTTCTATCCCGCTAAAACTTCTCCTACCCTATCCCCGTAATTCTTCCCATGGGCATCATTTTACTTTTTATCTACAAACTTTACCTGTTCTTCGCGCTCAGGACTCAGCTCCCCTTCAGCTTTTCACCTGGTTGCCCACACCCTCGCGGGCCCCCATGCAGAGCTGCTCCTCCTCCCCGGGTTCTCCAGCACCAACTCAGCACCTATCAGCTACGCCCCCCGGCCCCTGGCCCAACCCATCTTCGGACACGTGCGAGGCTGTTTGTGTCACTCCATCAGTCCCACAGGGGACGGAGTTCACTTACCGAGAAAGAAGCGCCAACTTTTGCTCCAGCATCATCTCCAGCTTCTGGCCCTGTTTGGAAATCCAGTGGTCCACCCCATGCAGGCGGTAGCACGTCTCCAGCATCAACCTGAAGTCCGCCACGAACTCGGTTATGCCCCCATACTGGCCGCTGGCGAACTTCTCTTCCATCTTCAGCAGACACATGCCCTGCCCAAGCTGTGGCGGGAGGCCGCGACCGCCCCGGCCCCCGCTGCGCGGCCCCTCGGCCACTTCATCCTCCCCGGTGGCAACGCCCCCCAAGGGCTGCAGGAAGGGGGCGGTGAGGCCCCGGTGCTTCTCCTGCAGGAACTCGCCGAGGATGCGGTAGCCCTGCTGCAGCTCATAGGTCAGCTCCTGCTCCTTGCAGCCTCCGCCCCCGACCACCATCTCCTGTTCCTCCTCCTCCTCCTCCTGGTAGTCCTCATCTTCCCGCGAGGAGGAACTCCTCCCTTGGGCCGGCCCTGAGGCCGGGACCGCCGCTGCCATCTCCTCCTCGTCGTCCTCTTCCTCGGGCGCCGGTGGCTGCCACTCCTCCTCCCCGGCAGGCTCCATCTCCCCCGGCGTCTCGGGCACGCTCATGGCCCCGGCCAGATCAGGTTGGGCCGTGTGGAGCGGCTGCTCGAGGGGCAGGGGGACGCGTGAGCGCGGGCCGCTTCCTCAGGGCTCGGCCGTGCTGCGCAGCGCCAGCCGCATCAGGCTTCACTCTCAGCCGCCCGCTCCGCTCGCTACGCGCGGGGGTCTCGAGCTAGCAGCCGGCGGGGCGGGGTTACATGGCTCGCGAGGGAGGGGGGAGAGAAGAGGAGAGCTTAGGTGCCCTCCTCTCCCCTCCCCCCGGCGGCGGCGCGCGCCAGGCCCTCCTTTGCCTCACCCCTCCGCGCCCCGCCCGGCCGCCCGGCCGCCCGCCTGCCGGCTTTTCACGGGCCAGGCCAGGCCTGGCTGTCGCGGCCTCGGCGCCCCACCCCCTCCGGGCCGGCTGTTGGGGTGCTGGGAGGGGGCGAAGAGGAAGTAGGGATTCTTCTCTTGCCGCCCCAGACGGGGCCGCAGCACTGGGCTGCGGCGTCTGGGGCTCCTCCTCTCCCTCACACCCGCTCCCGCCCCTCTCTACCTGCGGGGTACCGGGGCAGGAGGAGGCGGCGCGCGGACGGGCCCGGCGACAACTGTCAGTTAGAAGTCCCGCTGGGCCGGGGGCGGGGAGAGGAAGGGGAAGGGCAGGGAGAGAAGGGGGAGGGCACTCAAGCTACCCCCAGGCTCTGAGGCGAGCTGTGGAAAGAGGCAAAGAAAGACACCGTCGCCATCCACGGTGCGCATGCGTAGTAGGACAGCCCCACCCACCCTTTTGCGTTCCGCTCAGCTACGAAAGCAGACTTTGGCTCCGCCACGGGCCCCGAGGCCTGGTAGGTTGCGCGGCTCAATGATGTCATCAGCTTGTAAATGGCTGTTAAAGGGCGGAGTGGAGACGGAAGTAAGGCGCCTGCGCAGCTGTACTCGCCAATGCCAGAGAGGCCGAAGAGCTTTTAAAAGCGTTTACTGGAGGTTCTTTTTTTTGCGAGATCCTAATTAGCCCTCAAAACTAAAATTAATCCTGAAGGAGCTTGCTAAATAACCCTCATTATTGGCAAATGAATAGTGAGAAGGCACAAAATGTAGATCCTTCCTGTTATAAATTTTATGTTCTCTGCACCCACCTTCCTTCCCCTTTGTGACTGCCGGATTTTTAATATAAAACTAGAATTTTGAAAAGTTTAGAAAGGAGGTTCAAGGACTCAACCAACTGAAACATACGTTCACATGCAAAAGAAAAAGATAATTTGTAGAACTCAAATTTCTAAAACTCCGGTCCCCGGTTCTTAAGATCAATTCCTATTTTAAGTAGTCTCATGCGTTAAAATTAACATATTTCCACCTCGGTTCTTGAGATCTGCTAAGAACAAATAAAGGGAATGGAACCTTATTAAAAATCCTTGGGATTAAAAACAATCTTCAAATAATTCAAGTCTAAGCTGAAAAGCATTGAATAGTTGTTAGCCTCAAAATGTCACTACACATTTAAAAATTACTGTTTAAAGAATTGTCTAATAAGTGGACTCGTTCACTTTAATTATTGCTTAAAGTAAGTGGGGAGAAAGGAGCTAATGGTTCCATAAAGCAGGAATTATTATTTTCTCATGTCCTATAAGAAAGATGCACATATCTTTCTACTTAACACAGAATGTTCTACCTTGAAACCTGCAATTACCGTCCTAGAAATCAAGCATTTTAAAAGTACAAGCCATCTAACCAAATGGTTGGGATATTTAATTCTTGATTATGGTGAACCTTTAGAGCACTGATAAAAGTCAAAACTTCAAAGCTTGGGGGGGCAGTAAGTTAAATAGCAATATTAGGTAATAGTTAAATGGGAACACTTGAGTATTGACACTCCCACATACACATCCATTATCCAGTTTTCAAGGTCTCCTCTCACCAGACATTGTAATTTATTAGGCATTTACAGCATTCTCTTTCTCCTCAGATCCCTTAGATGTACCTCACAGGAACAAAGCCAGGAACCAGTCTAATTTCAGCAACTGGCAAGGAAAAATGTGTCTAACTGGACATCCCTCATTTCCTTTGACAAAGCCCAAGAATCTGGACCTACCCTCCGCCAGCAAATATCCCCTCTTCATCTTTAGCCACCAACCCTATTTCATGACTCTCTGATAATATAGATTGCGTTTATTGAACCCTGTGCCACCAAGCACTTTATATTATCTCCTTTAATTCTCACAACAATCCTAGGTATTATTACGCCTATTTTACAGATGTAGAAACTTGATGCTTAGGTTAAGAAAGCAGTTTGCCAAAATTCAAATCTAGGTCTGTCATACTTCCAAAATTCTCTATGGTGCCTAATTCCAAGTCATCTGGCAGAATCTCCAGTTCCTCATGAACAAGAGTGTAGGGAATTGCTAGAAATTTGGCCAAGGGCTTCTAGAAGGGATATTAAGATAAATAGGTATGAGTTGAAGGAACATCAGCTATAGGTCAAGGAGAGGCCAAGATGATTGTGATCTTAGCTATTACAAAAGTATGATTGGGTCCTTAAACTTAAAAAAAAAAACTATTATGCAAGAAATATGTTGGTTGTAGGTAAATTAGAAAATATAGATTAGTGAGAAGAAAAATTGCCATTTAATCCCACCACCCAGAGAAAACTTCTATTAATATTTTGTGGTAGGATTTTTCTATTTATTCATATATATTTTTATTTATCTTAAATAAAATTGTGACTATACCATACTTAATGTCCTTTCCTTTTTTCCCTTATTAATAATAAATCATTGCAGGTAATGGATAGGAATTCCGTATCTAAAATCCCAACTTCATATCTCTGTCCACAGCAGCCTAGATGGTCTGTTCTTCTGAACGGGCAGGGAGTGAATCAGGGAAATTCCAATGTAAAAGGAATTCTAAACCATAAAAAAACACAGTAGAGGTACAAACAACAGCACTAACAGGTACCATTTATTAAGCACTTACTTGTTCTTAAATATTTGCTAAATACTTAACATACACAGTACTCACAATAACCCCAGGAAATGACAGATATATTTGTTCTTAAATTTTGCATCAATGATTTGCTGACTAGAAAGCTTTTTTCTACCCTACAAAAAGCTTGACATTAAAGATCAACTTTCCAATTAATAAAATTAACTCTAGATTTATAGAACTGTTTTCTTAAAATGCACATCTACTGCTAAATGATTGGTCTCAATGCTGTTTTATTTTTCATGTTTAAAGATAAAATTAATTTTGCTTCCCTTTCATTTTCATAATAGAATACTCTTCAGTGCTACTATAGAATCTATTAAGAACTTCTTTGAAACAGAAATCTATTTAAGCCCCATTTCGAACCAGGGCTTCTCTTTTTGTTGGGCTGCTTTGCAGGGGGGAAATGGCATACGTACACAATGCAATATTCTGTTCAAACACATAATATTAATAGACGCCCACAAATATTGATTAGTATTTGTCAAACACTGAGTAATAGTGTTACATGCTACTAATGTTACATGTACCAGGACAGCCTATGCAGTAACCATAGTTCTTAAGAGTCCTGAATAACTTGAAAAATAGAGACCAATCAGGCTAAGATTTTAAAGTTCTCTTAACTCTCAGCTGGACACCTTGGGGACTAGAATATGAATATGCCTCACCCCATTTCCCGGAAGACATTATGAAAAAGTTCATATGAAAACTCCCCACATCCACAGCAATATCTTAAAACTCTCTCCCAATTTCAGCATCCCTCCCATTACCACGGAAACCAGCAGTATTATCAAAAAGGAATAAGCTTGCCACTATTTTTCATCCACAATTCCAAAGATATTTGTCCTGGAAGTTCTCCTATCTTTGTAAGCTCTCAGCAACTTGTGATAGGCAGCATGACATCTTGACACAAGTATATTGTTTGCCCAGCATCAATAATTCAGACAAATAGCAAAAATTTATATACTTCACATCAACTAGGAAAAAGGTGACAAACATTCTAAGACAACAAAAGCACAGTTATCACCAAGTTCTGTGTTTAAGAGATAAAACATGCAAGGTGAACACAAGGCTAGAACACTAATACTGGAAAAACATATAGGGAAGAAATATTAACTGTTCAGCAGGGAAAGAACAGTTCTCTCAATTATAATGGAATATACTCACAATAGTTATTTGGAATTACTTTTATGGTAAAAGATGTTCAAGTGACATTAAGTGCATCAAGCAAAATTTAACAACTCCTGTAAAGCTTCCTGCTGCTCATCATCAAGTTGGGCTATGCATTCCAACCATAACTCTTCAGAAGTCTGTACCTGACGCACAACATTAGCTAGGCGTTTGGCACAAGGATCTTCATAGTTAATAGTCTCATTAATTTTTCCTTCTGCAATTATACTGATTATTTTGGGAAGATTGGAATTATTTGGACCAAGTACAACTGGATGTTTACTTTCAACTAAGTCACAGAGAAAACTCAAAGTCTGAATAGCTTCCTCTTTATCCTCATGCAGTGGAAGCCATGATAACCAATGTGGAAGAACTTCATCTACATTTACACAGTTAGGCTTAAACCTCAAAATCTTCCCTACTGCTGAGATACAGTTCTCTGTAGCAATGACATTTTTTTTAGTTTTGGAATTTGCACACTTAATAACTTTTACCAGCAGTGGAACAGCTTCTGAACATAAAGAATGATAATCATCTCCACCAAACTGTGCCATAACACCCAGGCCATAAGCAGCAGCTTGCCTGACTTCAGGGTTATTGTCTCGCATATTTAGTAGCATTGGCCACCGAAAATATTCTACATATTTAAATGAGGTTGGACTGCAGTGCTCTATAATATCATCAAAAATGCACAATCCCCATTGTCTGTCTGGCCATGGCCTACTTGAACAAATCAGATTTACAATTAATGGAAGCAGTTGTTCAAACCATGGTAAGATCTTTTCCTTGTAAGTACTAAATAATGAGTGCAAAATATCTGATACTTTGGTCAGAATATAAACATCACATTCATCCTCATCTTGCAGAGACATTTCAACCTG